GATTTTTTTTAACTAAGATAGCAGAGGTCTCGCCACTTCCGTGAGAATGGCAAAAAAATTGCACGATATTGGGGTTCAAAGGAAGGAACAACAGAAGGTTTTCCTCAACAAAGTCTTTGGCAGAGATCAGGTTGGCGGAATTCTGGAGGCTAGGGACAGAGCATAACTTGAGACACGACTTGCTTCAATTAAGGATTTCATTTGTACAGAGGAAAACCAGATTTTATCAAAACCTCATGATAGGCCATCAGCTTTTTTCCAGTTTCTAATGAAACATAAAGACATGGTGGCTGAATGTTTGATTGTGGAACCAAGGAGAGAAGCCGGCATGCCTTTGGGTGAGAATGGAATCCCTTTGCGGCCATACGGCAATCAGTCTGAAAGCATAAACAACAAACTTACACGTCAATAAGAGGCATTCACTAGTTGCAAAAAGAAACAAACCTCCATGACAAAATTAAGCTTTGTAAAAAGTGTATGGGAAGGGGTAGAAAGAAATCAGTATGATGAAATGAAGGGGGCTTTACTTGGCCTTAGTGATCAGTATGAACTCTCCAAAGAGGCATCTCATCTGCATGTCCACCCTGATGATTGGTTCAGTATGTCAGACATACAGCAAGAACAGCTCATTAAGAAAGCCAATCCCTGACCATAGAGGACATATTGAGTGGTAAGCCACTGGATTTGCCACCTGAGAGAAATTATGAGGACAATGAATGTAAAACATATTCCACTGACCTTAAGTGTGCTTTGTCATTGCTACAACTATCACAAGATTTGATTGACACATTTGTGGATGAGGCAACTAAACTACTCAACATAGAGAGTGCTGTTACAAAAGCACCATCGTTTGATCTAGCAAACCGGGATAAATACCTTGAAAATGTATGAATGCACTGTTTACAGTTCGTATGTATCTTGCACCTGTCAGTGTTACAAGTGCAATCTACTTTGCAAACACAGTTTGTGTGTTGCGGAAAAGCTGGAGCTCCTCAGACAACATATTGACCACCTACTATCCAAGAAAGGTCATGGGAAAATATCAAAAGTACCTCTTGCAGAGCCAACAAAAGAAGCAGCTGGAAAGAAAGGTGGTCGGCACCGCAACCAGTGGAGGCCCCCACTCAGGTCTGTGGGTGAAGCAGCATCGGAAGTTATTCATGCTCGTCCTTACAACCAGATATAGCACAATGATGAAAAGTTTGTGGTTTGTTTTCTCATGGAGGAAGAAATTGCGAAGGAGTGTGGCCACTGCAGATTTTCATTCTCGAGGATGCAGCAGAAGGATCCATTCGATATTGTATTCTCACACAAAGAGAGGTGGATGTGGAAGGACAGGAATACTGGTGAACCACGTCCATCAGCAGGGTTCACTAAGAAATTCTATTGCATAAGGTCCGAATGCATACTTGCAAGGTTTCCATATTTTTCAAACAAGTACATTGAGATTTCAGCATGTACCAAGCCTCAACTGAAGGAGTCACACAGACAAACCCTCATTAGTGAATTTGGTTATGATACCAACGTCTAAGAATAAGAACAAATCGTAGCGTATATTGGGCGATCCAAAAAAAGTGTGCAATAGATTGCAAAGTAGGCCTACATGTATCCATCAGAGGCAGGTATCATTTGGCAGATTTGAAATGTACAAACTGAGTAACATTTTTGTACAATTTGGGAAAAATTTCTGTATGAACTACCCCAAATAATGTATTTTTTCTAAGTGTGCCAAGTGGCACTTGCCTCCCATATGTATACGCTCATTATGCAAGTTCAAGTTTAAAATAGATTCATACATAATACATGTAATATCATCACCGCAAAGGTTGACAGAGAATAACAATGACAGTGACTTCTAGGTGTATATGGGCTTTGGAGGAATTTGAAAAACAACCTGGTTGTTTGCCATTCATCTGCCTGGAGCCACATGGGGTGGCAGTTATTACTTGTCAACACAGCTGGGGTGGTGTGATGAATTTAGTTCAGCTTATTTGTAACTGAACAAGTACTACAGTAGTAGTTTTCCTTATTGAGTATATGTGAACATTGTAACATCAACAACTTACACCTGCAGCCGAGGGGTCTTAAGTGCGGATGGCACAGTATTTTTTAACCATGTGTTGTCCCCAAATCTTTTTACCTTGTGTTAACATTTATTGTAGTTTTAAAGTTTTTCAAAAGTTAATTAAGGTATTGGAAAAGATTCAACCTTAGTTGTATCAGACAAAGTGTTTTCGAAGTGTTCATATGTTAGATTTTTATGTCACCACCAAAAGTGGTGACATACTGTATAAGTGGTATTTAATCCGAGTGGTATTTAATCTGAGTGGTTAATTTGCCGAATGGTCAAATTTTATCAATTTCCTAATTTTAATTTTCCTAATGACAAGAAATTTCCCATTGGATAAGATTATGAAGATAATTAAATGATTAGGCAAAATTACCACTTATACAGTATTGTGATAGTCAGCAACTTTTTTGTGGACGGTGTTCAGCGGTTGGTGTTTGGCGTCTGTAACAATTTTCTTGTCATCACAATTAAAGGAAAACCACTGATTGGATTTTTTTTCAAATTTGCACACATGATCAAGGGTGACAAGTTCTACACCTAATTAACATTTGGGTGGTCATATTGTTCATTCTTGTTCCCATAGCAACGAGATATAAATTTTCTTGTCATCTTAATTCTAGGAAATTTGCTGATTGGATTTCTTCAAATAGAGGATACCAAGTTATACAGCTGATTAACTTTTGGGTGGCCATCTTGTTCAATCTTGTTGCCAATCTTCTTCAGCTGATTAAATATTGGGTGGCCATCTTATTCAGTCTTGTTACCATAGCAACGAGATATAAATCTTATTGTCATCACAATTGAATGAAGACCATGGTAGAGGATACCAAGTTCTACAGCTGATTAATTTTTAGGTGGCCATCTTGTTCAGTCTTGTTGCCATAGCAATGAGATATAAAATTCAAGATGTAAAAGAAACTAATGATCTGATCTGTTCTCTTCCATGGTGGTGACATGTTGTCAACCTTCTGGGTGACCTTCTTGTTAATTGTTAATTTAAGATGTTCCACTTGGGGAAATTTAAGCTTGGAGCTTATTTTACTTCTGGATGTCAGTACCGTATGGTGGGAAAAATGGTAAGGCTACAAATCGGGCTTGGTTCTTAAAGTTGAAGGTTTATTGAAATGGAATTACACTAAAAGTACCAGTACTTCATTTTATAACCAGGAAATCCTGATGTTATTGTTTCCATATTCATTTTGTTTACTCATTTAGTAGATTTGTACTAGTCTTGTCTCTGTAATACTTTGAGCAGCAGCAGCAGCGAATGTCCTCTTTGCACGTTTTGTCCAAGGACACATAGAGTAGACCCCTCAGCAGCTGTACAATTTGGAGTGTAATCTTCTGGGTGGTCGATGAAAATGTTCAGTGTATTGTTCACCTGTACAACGCTTACTTCAGTCTGCAACTTTAAATCAAAAGTCAAAAAATGTAAATAGTATCCGCATCTGGGGACATATTGTCTTCATACTCCTGCACTTACCTTCTTTTTGAGCCACACTAGATAGGATGTTTCAGCATTCAAACATAATGACTTTATAACTTTATTGGCCAAACCATGATGTGGTCCTACCAACCACCATATATGAATTTAATTTTACGAAATTCAAAGGACAGGTGTCAGTAAACCCCTGTTTTAGCCCCCCTACAAAACAAGATTATATGGGTATGGAATTGAAGAGGAACTATGACTTATTACTTAAAATGTGATTTCTGAGAGTTTTGACATTTGACCTTGACATTTGGGTCATTTAAAGGTAAACTCTAAGAGATGCTTTTTGTACACATTTCCCACTTTCTAATACAAGAAATGAAAGCAATTGGTTTAATTTTGATTGTGACTGATAATAAGATATGTGAATGGATATAAAAATATTTTTAATAGATTCTAATGGGCAATAACGTGAAAATTATGAGATTACATGCCAAATGATCATATGGGCATTTTTATGGGCTCTGAATTTTCTTTCTTCAAAAATGAATGTTCTTGTTCCCCTTTGAGGCTCTTCCAATTCTAAGCATGTTAAATAGTTAGGAGCTGAATATTTTTTTTAAATGCCCATGGGCAATTAGGAGAAAATGGTTGCAATTAAATGCACATTAGGGCACTTCAATGAAAATGGATTTTCTTATTTCAATTGTTTCTTGCCAGTTTTCTAAACATGTTAACCATATTCTAGAATTCTAGGCTCACTTTTGATAAATGCCCATTGCCCGTTGTATTGAAACTAATATCCGTATTGTGAATTTTAAAATTATTTGCCAATATGTAGCGCCCATATTTGAGACACAAATAATCCAGAGAAATCGTCTTTCACAATGCTCTGATATTTCATAAAATAGAATGTAACATCATGTAAATGACATGACACTCAAAGGATTGCTGAGTAATTCCTAATTATTCCTTACGTAGAAAAACTCTTAGGCCATTCAAAGTTTTTTGTATGATTAATGTTGCTTACCTTCTATGTTTTCAGAAAATAAAGAAAATGTTTCCATGTACTCTGTGCTTTTAATTAAATGTCAAATAGAACTTTAAAATTGTGTTCTTAGATCATATTGTAGAGAAATGAGTTCCCAGATTGATTAAAAATGATGGGCTTTGTATAAAAAACCTCCTACCCACGTACCCTCGTACCCACGTACGTGGGTCCTGACCCAGTCTTTAAAGAGTTAAATCTTTAACATTTTTAAACATTATTCTATCTCAATGTATGCTTAATTATGGATGAATTTATGTACCCATATGCCTTTATTTCTAGATCGGACATCTGTCTCGTCATAAAATAAAGCCGGCATTGCATAATGTTCATTTGAGCTATTTGAGTGTTGTTTTTGATACATCGAAGCGATTTTTTGTTGATCTTACAGTGTACAACCAATCTATTGCTTGGCGCAAATTCGACCAAGCGCATATATTTAGTACTCTCGACAATGATGACCGTGTTCATGTTGCTGATTCTGAACCAATAGATGATTTAGGCGATTTAGAGCCATTACAACAATGCTTTACCAAGAGCCATTTAAACAACATCATACATAAAAGTGACATTCTTATAGAGAACAATCATGTACAAGAATTTCCACCCAATTCCTATGTTGTAAAAAGTGAGACTGTTGGTGTGCACTTCATAGAAAGGTGCAAAGATTCATTTAAATGCCCCTGCCAATCATTTTCAAATAGAAAATTTTGTGCACACGTCCTTGCAGTGGCTCGGACAAACAACATGGTCACAAGTCAAGTACGCAAGTGTTTATACTTCACACCAAATCTCTCAAAATTAGACGAAGTAAAAACGCAAAATCGCATGGGAGGGAAATCCATTAAAAAACAATACAAAAAAATAATACCATTCTCCCCGGAAAAGCCTATTGTAGAAACTGAAAGTCAAAGTCAATCAAGTCAAAAGTAGTCAGCATGTGAGAAACCTCTGCAGCGAGAGGGGAAAACCGTGGCGACTGTCAAATGAGCCATGGTTTGCTCTAAAGAGGGTGGATACCAGAGCAAGAAAGTGTGCAGGTTGCAAATCACCATTTAGCTCAGAATATATCATTTTAAAGCACAAGGAAAAAGATTTTCTTGCTGGCACTGATATCGTTACCCCCCTAGCAGGTAACAGGTATTATCATTTAAACCAAATATGTGTTCAACTAAGACACGGGAACTATTACGCCATTGAACAATTAATGTCTGAAAACTTGTCCGAGAAGGAGGTTGAGAATGCAAAAAGCAAAATGTGCTAGATATTGACCAGTGAACCAGCTGTTAAATGCGTAACATATAAATCTTATCTTGAAACGTCAATTGAACAGTTGCAATAATCTACCGAATCACGTGGGTAGCCCATTGTCTGATTGTGTTTTCCTTACTTTTAAAATTAGTAAACAGTGTACTTTAGCGTTTGAAAGTCAATAATACACACTACCCTACCACGTGACCACGTTTAAAATGGAAACAGGGTACAGCTCAGTTGCAAATGGAGGACTTGGGTTTAATTCCATATTTCTGAACGTAAAATACATTTTACATTTATTTCTTGTGTTCTACCAGCCATAGAATTGATACATCAAGCAGTTTGTAGAATATTGTTGGCAAAAAAACACTATAGGCAAAGATAGATAATAGTGGGTGCAGTGAAGCAAAACTCGAATGCAATACACGATACATTTCAGTAAATCTGTCAACGTACAGGGAGCATGTAAGTTTCCCTTCGAAAATGTTACATTGATATGTAACAAAAAAAAACCAGTTAACTATTATTTAAACTGAGTGTCATCGTGTTGTAGGTGGATACGTTTTCTAGTATGTTATTCAACTGTATTTTTGTGAATTTGAACAAAACATTTTAAATGATCGGTTTTTGAAGACGGTAGTGAATTATACTATTCAAGGAGTTATATAGAAAGATTTTCCACATGTAGTTCAGGCAATTTTAATTATTCTGAGTAGCGGATAGTCATTATCCGCTATCAGTAACGTCTTAATATTTAATTTCGTTATTTTATTTCAATTTGATACCCTAGTAACACGTATAATCTAGCGTTCTTGTTAATTTTATGACTAGAATGCATACGACCTGAAAGCCCGTGTCTAGATCTACAAAATAATGTTTACTTTATTTGGATTAAATAACAATTGATGACACCCCAAAGCATCAACAGGCGGTCTTTTTAGCATTACTTTCACTGTTTGCAACGTAAATGTACATGAGGTCGGGACATAGTATGTCTGTATAATCAGCTTACTTTCTCGCTCCCTGTACTATTGAACAATTTACATTCCTTGTACCCTGTATTGATCAACTTTTGCAACTGTGTACCGTGTACTATGAAATATCAAATATTTTAAAATTTAAAACGATATTATTTCCATTCTTTCTATAACTATCATATAACTTGGAACATCGACTTCACTATTGCACCACTGAAGTGTAGCGAATAGCAATATTTTCTCACTCCGAGCACCAAACGTATTAACCTTTTGAGTAAGCAGTCGATATATTCAAAAGCGACCTGATTGAAAGCCCAAAAATTTGCGCATGCGTGATCGAGGTAGAGTAGTGTGTAATACTACACTCAGATTTTAACTTAAGTGTCATGGTCAGAAACTCATACAATGGTTTGTAACTACATGTAGTAATCTAAGTCTAATGAGTAATGTGGACTTATTTAGGTACGATTTTATTACTTTTACATCTTTTTTTGACACAGGCTGTTACAGTGTTACATTGCTAAGAGTTACAGATGAATGATACTTGTAAACTAGGTTGCACACTATACTGTATACATGTATATGGATGTCCGTTCTGAGGTTAAATTTTCATTTTACAATAAATGTGAAATTACAAAACAATAAATGTGAAACCTTTTGGACAAGGTAGTTGTCAATGCATGTGTAAATTGTTTTTTATTGAAGCTAAAATTTTAAGCCGATCAGGAATGATGGATCAAGGATCATTATCTTAATTTAGCTGTAAATGCAAGAATCTCAATCAACAATGTAAACTGGAAAACGGAAACATCATAGAGTATAAAATCCAAAGGAACATTGATCTGTACAATAGTATGTCAGATTTTGGTATTGCTATCTACTCTATCCTTTATTTGCAGATTATTAAGACAGTCGGTGATTCAGTATATCAGAATTTCTACGAATTTAAGCATCCGGGAGACCATTTAGGAATACCAAAGGCACAAATTATAAAAATAATCCAAACTTTATTGTGTAATGTAGTATAACATACTTCGATTATATCTATAAATTATAGCAAAATCCAATATTAGGGAGCCATTTTTAATTTTCAGAGGCCCAAATCAGGAAAATTATACAAATCGGTAATCTAATTTATGTAGCTGTCATTTTAACCTTTACTTATAAGAAAGATATCAAAATTGACGATCAATCATGTTTTATCAAGCGCCTCGCCCCCTTCATAGAAATGTTGAATAGATACACTACCAACGTTTCAAACAGTAACACTTATTCTTTTATAAATAGTTTAAAGAAATTCCGTAAAACTATTCACCAATATCAATTTTCCACCAAATATCAACAAAATCCATCCACTAATATTCAAGACATGTTCTGGACGGAGGTCCTCGCTTTATCCCTATCAAACTTAGTTCGAGGAGGACTGTTACATAGTCCGTGATCTGCTCCAAAAATGAAGTTCCCACAAACAATACTGCAATTCAAGTATGCCTATATCAATCAATTTTGATAAAAAAATAGGTAATTTTGATTAGCAAAAGAGTATATAATTTTGAAAAATATAAAAAAGATGAAGGATGCAAATGTATAGATCTGCAATAGTACAAATTCTACATTGTGAAATGTTTTGGTGTCCATACATTCCAAGTGATAATAAAAACGTCTGAAGCTTGAAAAGGTGACATATATAACATGTATTATAAAGATACATGTATGTTAACAAGGTCACAAAAATGACAGCCAAATAAATATCAATGCTGGCTTTGAATATTATGATATCCCCATATAAAGTCAATAATGGCAATAATGCATACCTGTAGCCCCGTCTGAAGTCAATACATCTTTGTTCAAATCATCATTAATTTTACTAGGAACACTATCTTACTATGGAGTAGCTGTTTTTTATAGCGGGCATCCGGACAACAAACTCCTTATCTACAGGTCTTAGGAAAATCAGATCTATTATGAATGGATAGGGTTGCTTATGCCTTGGTCACATTTGCTTCGATTTTCACTACGGCGCCCGGCCGATTGAGTATTTCGTTCAGAATTGAATTCACTTTTGAACAAAATACTCATTGGCCGGGCGCCGGTGCTGAAAATCGGGGCAAATGTGACGATGGCATCAACTAATGATGCTGGCGTAGTAAACAAGGTAACACATTATAAAACACTGTCCTCCGCCATACTGTAGCATGTATTTCTTAAAATTAATTACAGACTGAAGTCAATTTGCAAATGTTATCCATGGGGCTTTTCTGCCACCTTGCAAACTGCTCGATGAATCTATGTAATGCAAGGGAAGAACACTTGGAATATATGTAGCTAAAATCTAGTATACTGTACATTCAGAACTATGGAAATAAACAAACTTCTCCACAGTTTGTAACCTCTTTGCAGCACCCTTTGAAGAAATAAAGGCTAGCCTACAGTTTGGGGCCAGGGGCAGGGTAGTGTGGTACGTACCTTAAGTTCTACATAACTTACCTAAACAGTAAAAGCTCATGCAGATCTGCCGTTCAAGTAGCACTGTCCGTCGTGTCCGACTGTTGCCTTCTTGTGTTCACACTTGAAAAGTTGCAAAGTTGCAAGAAAAGGGTTTGGAAACATTTACTTCCTCTCATTTCTTACATTTGTACTCCAGTCAGGAGAATGCAAATCGAAATTACTTGCACCGCAATGGAAGCCTAATAGACGAATGCAACAAAATTAGGTAAATAACATGAATAATCTAATAACGAAATATTTGAAAAGTAGAAGGATTCGCTATATTCGTTTTTAATCGCTTTTTGGCACAATTTAAGGATAATTGTGCGCACTAGTTCAGTGAATCATTTAGATGGAATTAAAAGTTAGAGTTGCCAAACTTATGCAGGGGAGTGTAAGTTTGGTTTTGTAAACTTCGACATTATTCATGGCCGTTTGATCCATAATTAGGTAATATGAAGAGTAGAGTTTTATTTTGACAATGATTTGATGTAAAACTGGTTTGAATGATAAAAGTTCAGCTTTGTAGTTTCTAGCTTTTTGCGCGTAAAACGTGAATACAATGGACAACGACACCAAATCTTTGACTAACATACGTTAATAACGTATAATATTCGTAAGAATGAATTCTAATAACATTTGAAATAAACATCTAATAAAATGTGGTGAATTTAATTGGTTGGAAACTCTAAGAAATATATTTTTAAAAAGATGTCAACTTTTGGACAAGGGTAAACTTCCCGGGACATTTACAATCTGCATGAGGTAACAGGAGGCACGGATTGCACTGAACGAAGGCTAATAGATTGCTAATCAGCACTGATGTGTTATACAGGTAAGACTGCCCGATCAACAAAAAACATTTCGACATATCAAAAACATAAATCAAATAGCTCAAAAATAATGAACATTTATGCAATTCCGGCTTTATTTTATTTTACTAGAGAGATGTCAGACCTATAAATAAAGGCATATGGATGCATAAATTCATCTATAATTCAGGATAAACTGAGATTGAATAATGTTTTAAACATTTAAAAATCTAACTCTTTAAAGACTGGGTCAGGACCCACGTACGTGGGTACGAGGGTACGTGGGTAGGAGGTTTTTTATACAAAGCCAAAATGATGTATTTAAGATTCAGTATGTTGTGTTCATTAACAAGGTTATCTGAACTCTAGAGGTGTGTCACTTGATTTGTCAGTATGTGTTATAGTATTTTCACTACTGAATAGCATATTAAACCCTGAACATAATTAAAGATTTTGTAGTTTTTAATATAAGGCTCTTTATCAGAATGCCAACATATAATTAATTTCGAATGGCCTAATCTGTACATGCAGTTATGTAGTGTACATGTATGCTCAGGTTGGCAGCCATATTGAAAACATAAACTAGTTAGGCTTATTCTTATCACAAAAGTTAGGTTTTAGTGGTGAGCCCACAAACCCACAACAATGATATTTGCAGAGAAACTTCTTTTCGATCACTTTATTATACAGTTTCAATATCTTTTTTGTGGGTAAGTGGGCTCACTGTGAACTTTTCAATGAAAGGGGATGAGCACCCTGCTAATGAAAATGAACAAAAATGACAATTTTTCCAGATTTGAAAAGATAAACTATACATATAACTGCATTTTGTCAATGTTCTACTCCGAAAGCCTCTTTGTCATATGATCTATTTAATAAATTCCAAATAATAATTAGTTTTTATGTTTT